GGACGTGAAAGCAGCTAGATACAGAATCTGGAGTACCTGTGACAGTATGCCCTCCCAACGGCCATTGCAGCCCTGCTGTAATCACGACAGCAGAAGAAAAAAAAAGAGAAAAAGAAAACAAAAAAGCAACAACACGTGGACCTGAAAGCAGCTGGATACAGAATCTGGTGTACGAATGAGAATGTGCCCCCCGTTGCAAAGTGTCAGCTTCCCGTGGAATGCACCTTGCCTCTCGTTGGCAGGGCAGTAAACGCGGATCACCAAAAAAAGAAAGCAAAACACATACAAAAAACGAACCTGGCTATGTTTCTGGGTAGATGCGTTCCTTTGAGTTCTGATGTGAGCACATCTCCTTCACAGCCTTTCCTGACGTCCTTCCTTTCTTTCTTTTCTTCTCTTTTTTCTTTTTTTTGGTAATGGGAAATACAATTGATGTCGAGCCTGTGGTACCTCCGAACTCTTCGGGGGGAAATGGGAAAACGTCCACTTTTCCCTAATTTCCCAACACTGGCGGAGGTACTAGTGTAGAGGCCAAGAACCAGACCCGCGGTGATTGCTGGTAGCGGCAGCCAATGGTTGACCTGACAGGATAGGCCACCTACACTACCCATCCCCACGTTAATACTCCCAGCACACCCCCTGCCCCTACTATCCTACCTCAGTGTGACCATCACTCAGGACCATCACCCTACCAGTATCGAGGGCAACTTGGACCAGGCAGCAGTGACAAGCACCAAGGCTGGGCCAACCTCCCAGCCCTAATGGAAGCGGAAGCGGACAAACCTTGTCGTACGGGAACTTCGGACGCCAGGCTCATGCAATCTTCTACAGGCCCAATTCAGAGAGTTTACCCAGCAGGATTACCTAAGCAAGGCAGGCCAGTGCCCATGGACACATCCTACTGTCCTTCCCCTAGCTTACCCAAGGCTAGGCAGAACTCAGACTAGCCGGAGCGACTTATATCCCTACGCTACCCTAGAGCTAAGCCATGCATGAGTAGACGCCGTCATATA